CAGTACTACAGTACTCCAGTACTACACAGTACTCCACAGTACCACAGTACTACACAGTACTACAGTACTCCAGTACTACCCAGTACTACAGTACTCCACACTAGTTCAAATGAACCAAATGATCGTCCAAACATATCGGAGGTGAAGACTGAAGTAATCAAAACAAGCTTCTGTCTCGAGTCAGGATTAGATGATCCAGACTCTCAACCTTAATCCTGACTGAGAGAACAAAGTCAACAGACGAGTACTGAATCAAAGAGAACCAAAGATCAAAGATCCTTTATCAAAACTTTACGTCAAACTAAAGTCGATGCCGTCTGCACCTCTGCCGACCAATGAGGGAGGAGACATAGAAACCAATCAAACACAAGAACTGAGGCGCGACGATCCAGTCAGATCCAGACTGAGCTTCATGTTTCATACGATCATTTAAAACCAGGATGTTACAGGAGGGGGGGGGGTCAACTTCAATCTTCTGAGTATTAGATGATGAAAAGAAAATCTGAACGTCTCAGACATAAAATAAAAACTGTTTTTGAATGTGACCTGATAAAATCCTCCTGGTTTCAGTTTCAACATCAGAACCTTCAGACTCCAGCAGAACTGAACCGGCGCTCTGTGACACCTACCCTCAGAAATGTGGACAGTGAAAGGGCTTGTGGGAATCTGCTGCCCGGCAAAGGTCACGTAGACGGTGTGCGCCCCCTCCAGGATGGGAACATAGGTACAGCGGAAAATACTGTCCCCTTTGTTTTCCAGGACAATCTCCACTGTGTCCCTGCGACCGTTAGAGTCCACAATGATGACGCCCACGTCTCCGGCTCCCGCCCCTGGAGGACAGACAATGAGACATTTACACTTTGTCCTTGTTTGTTTCTCAGTTGAATTGAAGTCGTTTAAAGCAACAGTTCAGTTCGAGTGTTTACCTGCTGTGTAAATATCGAAGTACGTCGGCTTGTTGGCCACGTTCCCCATCGTCTGCAGCCCCGGCCCGCGGGCCTGGACTCTGCTCGGGTCGCCCATCGCCTTGGAAACGTTCACTATGAAGGGACTTCTATCAATGTCCTGCCCAGCGAACAGCACCTTCACCTGGTCAGAGAGGGAATCACAGGCCTGTCAGGTTTTTTTCTTACAGACGTAAAACGAGTTTGATCCTGAATCAAAATGACGTTCGATCAGATGATGTTAAATCTTCTTCTGTTTCTCACCTTATGAAGCCCCTCCACTTTGGGCAGGTAGACCACAGAGTAGGTTCTGTTCTTGTCGTTGTTGGGGATGACTCGAGCCTGACGGACACAGACAAAATTTAACTGAATAAACTTATTGTGATTTAATGTTTGAATTTATTTAGGGGTGATGAGAGTTCCCACCTCCTCCGTGTGTCCCTCTGGATCCTCCACGTAAACCAGAACCTCACCCAGTCCGGCCTCCACCGTCTCCACCAGGAACTCCGCCGGTTTCAGAACCGTGTTCCCTCGAGGTTCGATACCTGAGACACGATGAAGGGTTAGCATTAGCCTCACCTAGCATTAGCCTCATCGTGAGGCGATTATTTCAGATGTTATTTTATAAAGAGTCAGGACGACTGAGACGTGTTATGTTTCCTGGATCTGCACCAGAATTGAACAAGTAATTTCCTGAATCATACAACAGGAGAAGAGTTGTTGTGCGATCCTGTAAACTGATGAACAAATTCACTAATTCATTAATAAGTCACACTGAGCTAATTACTTATAAAATCCACCATTTCTGAATTAAACGAACAAATTAACTCCAATTCTTTGTAATGTGGGGCCGACAAAGTTCTGATCAATTTGTCAAAAAATATCAGTTCATCGTCAGCAGGAGAGAGAAACGTTCATTATGAATAACTCAGTTAAAACAGAGAGCCGAGAACAGAACCCTGAGGAACCTCACGGGTAAAGTGTGATCATCTCACATGAGTTTGATCTGAAGAACCTTTTAAAACATCAGGAAACACGTCACTAAGAGAAGTGACGATTGTTTCCTCACCAGGTCCGAAAGCTTTGGCTCTTTTCGGGTGCAGAGTCTTTGCCCTTAAGGGGGCGCCGGGCTTCAGTTTGGCTTTAGGGAACTGAGACAGGTACGTCATCACAGAGTGCTCGTCCACGTTTGGGTCGACAATCTCCTCTGGAGCGATCACCTGAAGAAGACAACGAGCCGACAACATGACGACAATGTTTAATCCTGACAATCTGAAGATGAACTCCTGAAAACAGGACGCAGTGACAGACACACACATGAATCCTGAGTGTGTGTCTTCGTGAGTTTGTTTGTTTGTGTGTTACCTGTGGAACTCCGAGCCAGTCGTCCGCCTGCTGCATGGCCTCTCTGGCGTTCTCCACCGGCTGACTGGGATCCCATGTTTCCCAGTCCGGACACAAACCTGAATGATTCACAGATATTAGTTTCTCCTGAAGCTGATTATTGATTATCGATCGGTGTGTAACGGTATCAGCGCTCTGGTTCTCACCGGGGGCACAGTTGTCCACCAGCGCTCCGAGAGCCTTCCCGTCCCTCCAGTCTCGGTGGAAGTTGGTGATGGGGAGCTGAGGCACCTTGTTCTGGATCCAGCCCAGCAGACGCTGCTTCGGCGTCAGTTTCTTAGCGTCCTCGTCGTCCTCGTCCTCCCACATGGGCATGGAGATGGAGTAGTGGAGGATCAGGGTCCAGATCAGACCCAGGATCAGCTTCAGGTTCCCGTCCACGATTGCTTTAGAGTCTGAGGGTCAGAGGACGGAGGAAGACGTTACAACCCGTCAGTTACAATAAGGAGGTTTTGAGTGTTTATATCATCAGAACAGAATCAACACATGAGCAGCATTTACATGTGAAAAGTTGTGTTTGTGAGCTGATGTGAAGTTTGTTATGATTCATCTTTTCCTCGTCGCTGCAGGAGAAACGAAAGTTCACACACTTTTCATCCTTTGACAGCAGCACAGTGACGTCATTCAGCCGCCGACTGAGGAGCGAGGTCAGTTCAAAGAGAAAATACATG